CAAATAAATTAAAAATAAATAAACCTATTCATTAAAAGAAAAACAGACGAGGGATTCTACTGGTTCTCAAACTTGGCTATACATGGAAATGCACTGGGGAGCCTTAAAAGTACTGATGCCTGGGCTCCAATCGACAGACTGTATTCGAACTTAGTTGTCCCAATGATGTCTTTTAAAGGTAGTTTTCTTTTCCAGTTCGGGATCCCGTCCAGAATCACACATCGCATTTAGTTGTGATATCTCTTTAATTCCCCTTTGAACAGATCCTCAATCTTGCTTTGCTTCCAAGATCTTGAGTTTTTTGAAGAGCATAGCCTAGCTATTTTCTAGAATGTCCCTCCATTTTTGTTTTTCTGCTGTTTTCTGATGTTTAGGTTCAAACTATGCATGTTTGGTCATGAATATTACAGAAGTGATGTGTCTTTCTCTGTGCATCCTGGAGGCACAGAAAATTTTATTTGTCCCACTACTGGTGACGGTGACTTCAATCACTTGGTTAAGGTGGTGGCTGCCTGGCTTCCCCACCATAAAGTTATTATTTTTCCTGTTGCTTATTAATAAGTATCTTTGGAAAGATGCTTTGAAATTATGTAAATATCTCGTTGCTCATCAAATTTTCACCCCCTAGTTTCAGCATAAATTGACGATCTGTGATTGCAACAAGGATTACTCTAGTGGTTGCCAACTGGGGATTTTCTGATCCCACCATTGCTTTTGCGTTTACTAGTTGGCATTCTATTGTAAAGAAGGGTTTTCTCTTCTCCCTCGTTTATCCATCATCTATCACTTGATGTTAGTATGGACTCATGGATTCTGATTTTAATCTATTGGTAATGTCTGTTAATATTATTTATTGATTGATTTTAAGATTGGCGTCAGAGCTAACAACTGTTGCCAATCTTCTTTTTTTCTGCTTTTTCACCCCAAATCCCCCCAGTATATAGTTGTATTTTGTTGTTGTTGTTGTTGTGGGTCCTTCTAGATGTGGCATGTGGCATGCCACCTCAGCATGGCCTGATGAGTGGTGCCATGTCCGCATCCAGGATCCGAACTGGTGAAACCCTGGCCTGTTGAAGCTGAGCGCGCGAACTTAACCACTCAGCCACCGGGCCTGCCCCCACCATTATTTATTTTGAGGTTCAACATCCCATATTTGACAGCGAGAGTTCCTTCAGCTAGTTCTTGCGTCCTTTCGACATCTACTCTCTACTTTGCAATTACACAGGGCTGAGATGAAGACATAAATTTCTTAGGTAACACAAAAATTTCACTTTCCCAATTAATCGAAATCACACTCTACCAAGTATCTCAGTGTTGCCAAATAAAGAATTTGACTTTTTGAAATAAACTTTTTATTCTAGAATAAAGTTTTAGATTTAAAGAAAAGTTGCAAAGCTTGTTCAGAGAGTTCCTGTATACCCCGCATCCAGTTTCTCCGTTGTTTACATCCTACACTGCTATGTACACTTGTCACAACCGAGAAGCCAGCAGTGGCGCATGACTATTGACCAAACCCCACTTCATTCAGATCTCACCAGTTTTCCCCAATGTCCGTCTTCTTTTCTTCCAGGGTTGTATCCAGGATCCCACAGGACTTTTAGTCATTATGTCTCCTCAGTGTCTTCTGCTCTGTGACTGTTTCTCCAACTTTCCTTGCTTTTGATGACGTGACAGTTTTGAGAAGTACTGGTCAGGTATTTTGTAGAATGCCTCTCAATTTGTTTTTGTCTAATGCTTTTTCTCGTGGTTAGACTAGGGGTAATGGGTTTTGAGGAGGAAGACAACAGAGATGCAGTCCCATTCTCACCCCATCAGGATACATCCCATTGACATGACCCAGCGCTGATCATGTGAACGGGCCCAGATGGTGTTTGCTAGGTTTCTCCACTGGAAAGTTACTTTTATTCCCCCTTTCCACGCTCAACTCTTTGGAGGCAAGTCATTAGGCATTGTCACAGTCTGCTTTCCATGCCTTGTGTCCTCTGACCTCCTGGCTGATTTTTAAATTTTTTCATACAGTATGTTTTACTCTTTGTGAAGTGGGTTCTATGGGTTTTGACAAACACATAGTCATAGATCTATCACTCTGGTACCATACAGCTTAATTCTTTGTGAAGTGGGTTCTACGGGTTTTGACAAACGCATAGTCATGGATCTATCACTTTGGTACCATACAGCTTAATTCCATCACTCTAAAGAATACCCCATGATGGTGCCAGCCAGGTGACATAGTGGTTAAGTCTGCAGGTTTGGATCCTGGGTGCCGACCTACACACCTCTCGTTGAGCCATGCCGTAGTGGCGTCCCACGTACAAAATAAAGGAAGATTGGCAACGGATGTTAGCTCAGGGTCAGTCTTCCTCGCCAGAAAGAAAGAACCCTATGCTCTCCTTAGTTAACCCCTTCTTCTTCTAATCCTTGGAAAACTCTGATCTGCTTTCTGTCCCTGCAGTTTTACCTTCTCTGGTTGTCTTGTGAATGGAATCATTTGCTATATAGCATTTCCAGTCTGAACATTTTTGTCATGGAAATGCCATTTGCGTTATATGTTTGTCTGACAAGGTCCTTGCGAAACAAACCAGTCTCAGCAACTTTGAAAATCTGCTGTTCCACGTGACCCTTTCCTGTATAACACTGAGCGGATGTTAGAAATCCTTCCACAGCCTCCGGATCCGCAGAGCCTTTAACAAGCTAAGGCAGGCTGGGGCTCTGATTCCAGCTCTCGTCGTAACCAACTGTAATTCTGGGCAAGTCACTTCAAATCTTCACCCTCAAACTCTGAAAAAAATAAAACTGTAGATGTGAGTATCTCCATGGTTCCACTCATTCTAAAGTTCTATATATAAAAAAAAAAAGTTCGGGGCTGGCCCCGTGGCCTAGTGGTTAAGTTCGCGCGCTCCGCTGCAGGCGGCCCGGTGTTTCCTTAGTTCGAATCCTGGGCGCGGACATGGCACTGCTCGTCAGACCACGCTGAGGCAGCGTCCCACATGCCACAACTAGAAGAACCCACAACGAAGAATACACAACTATGTACCGGGGGGCTTTGGGGAGAAAAAGGAAAAAATAAAATCTTAAAAAAAAAAAAAAAAAAGTTTGTGAGTAATTTTAATAGCACCCAGCACCACCTGGTGGTCAAAGGGAAGAGGACATGCTGAGGAAAAACGTTAATAGACGCGTCCCGCTGCATCGGTATTTTGCTTGTTTGAATAAAATTTCACATTTTCAAACAATTTCTCCTCTAAACTGGCTACATACAAGTGCAGTACTACATATAAAATCAACCACATGGGTCATTATGTCTAAAATCACACCCTGCATTTCAGAATCCCTTGTGGATATGCTCTAACCCTTGAATAGTCATCATCAATCAGCTATTATGCTTTGGTTAACAGAAAAGAAAACAAAACAAAACTATAGAACAATTACACAAAATAAAAATATACTTCATTATACCGAAAAACTTCTATCATATTAAAATTATTCATACATATTTGAGCAAGAAAATAAGTGATGGTATTCAATTATAACCCCCAAAATAAAACAAACATCTGTGAGTTCTTACTTATATAAATGCATAGTTGAATGAATGAATGAATAGGTAAATACAGGAAAACAGCTCTTCTTTACAAAATAATTCCAGTCAATAAATATAAAAGGAATAAGAGAAATAGAAAACCATCATTTGATCCCTACTGAGTAACTATTGCAGGCAAGATCCACTCCTTATACTAAAAAGTTGACTGTACAGGCAAAAGTTTGAGGAGAAACAGGATAACTTCATAGTCTCAAAATATCTCCCCCAAGATCTTTATTAATTACAAAAAAAAGATAGTAGCTTTACAGCAGATAAATCCAGCAGATATCTCCTAATAAAGTGACCAAGGTTAACATCGCAAAAATGACATAATGACATCATGTGCCCTTTGATATGATTTATATTTTTGTTAAGGCTAACTGGTTTTAAAGAGAGAAAATTGTATACAATTTTTCCCTCTAATAATTTTAGAAACAGCTTTTTGCTTTTCTTTTTTTAAAGTCATTAAGCAACGGGAAACTTAGTAGATAGCAATCAGAAGACAATCCAAATGTGTCTGACTTCCCCAGTTATCCACTGGGAATGTGGGTCATAAAGGAGAGAGGACCACTCTGGGATTCTTTCATCACCCGCAGTAAACTCAGATTTCAATAAAATTAACAGAAATGTTATGTGAAATTCATTATATTTGTATGCAGGAAGGAAACATTTAAATTCCCTTTTGATGAAAGGAAAAGAGTTCTCTTGATATCTTGACCAAGCTAACTTCAAATCAGTTTCCATAACAATCAAAGACAATATCATATTTACGTCCAAAAGCATCTAAAAGCCCCAAGCATAAGAAAAAAAATATAAAATACGTTTTCTTTTCAAGTATCGGTGAAACATACATAAACACTGATAATTTACTAGGCCAAAGAGAAAATATCAATTTCAAAAAGTAGAAATATTATATTTTCTGATTACAATGCAATAAACTAGAAATAAATGACCAAATCAGAAGAAAAAATTTCCCTGGCCTGGAGATTGAAAAATTTTCCTAAATGATGCCTTGAATCAACAGGACCTTATGAGATGGAATCAAAGCATGAGGACAATTGCTAGCCTCCATGGTATCACTGTGTGAATTAGAAAAAGCGCTCCTTCTTCATGTCAAAAAAAAAGGACCAACTCTGCTGTATCTGTGGACGGTCATGAGGCGATGGCTCTGAGCCCAGCTGTCTGGAAGATGAGCATGAGGCTCAGGGAAATTGAAGTCAAGTGAACTGGTAGCTGTGAAAGAAAAGTATATAAATTTCTTTTCTCTAAAAAAAAAAAACCTACTAGGGGAGAAAGGAAAGCGCGAGGAGCCACTGTCACCGTCACCAGCGCCGCCGGGCCGGAGCCAAGGGAGACCGGGCCCTTTCCCGCCGCGCCGTCCCACCGCCGGCCCCGCGTCCTCGGACTTGTTCCAACAGCCTGTTAAAACACGGTGGAGTGCTATGAAGTTCTAGGCGTGCAGAGACATGCCTCAGCCGAGGATATTAAAAAGGCATATCGGAAACTGGCACTGAAGTGGCATCCAGATAAAAATCCTGAGAATAAAGAAGAAGCAGAGAGAAAATTTAAACAAGTAGCTGAGGCGTCTGAGGTGTTATCAGATGCTGAAAAACGGGACATCTATGACAAGTACGGCAGAGAAGGATTAAACGGTGGAGGTGGAGGTGGAAGTCGCTTTGACAGTCCGTTTGAGTTTAGCTTCACATTCTGTAACCCAGATGACGTCTTCAGGGAATTTTTTTGGTGGAAGGGACCCGTTTTCATTCGACTTCTTTGAAGACCCATTTGAAGACTTTTTTGGTAGTCGAAGGGGCCCTTGCGGAAGCAGAAACCGAGGCACAGGGTCGTTTTTCTCTGCCTTCAGTGGATTTCCATCTTTTGGAGGAGGATTTCCTTCTTTTGATGCAGGATTTACTTCCTTCGGTTCACTGGGTCGTGGGGGCCTCACTTCGTTCTCTTCCATGGCATTTGGTGGTAGTGGGATGGGCAACTTCAAATCTATATCAACTTCTACTAAAACCGTTAATGGCAGAAAAATCACTACAAAGAGAATTGTCGCGAATGGTCAAGACAGAGTAGAAGTTGAAGAAGATGGCCAGTTAGTCTCTAACTAACGGTAAGGAGCAGCTGCTGCGCTTGGATAGCAAGCAGTTCAACGCACGCATGTAACAAACAGAAATGTTAACCTAACAAGCACCATTTGAGGATTAACAGGAACACTTTTTTTGAAGATTTCAAACGAACTCGACTTTCAGTATAACTGTACCTAGTCTAAAGTATTTATGCACAGCTCGTAGGAGCCCTATTTGTCATAGACTTTTGAGTTTATTGTTGGGACCAAATAATAGGACCATTTTTTTGTTTTTTGTCTTTAAAATTGTTGTAAATCTCTGTATGCTCTTTGCTTTTTTATTAAACGTAATCCAAAGTGGCCGTGACTCTTTCGTACACTAACACCAGCGCGGACCTGCTTTTCCATTGTGTTTGAAACGTGAGCCGAATAACGTCAGCCTGCTGTGAAGTTAACATCGCCAGAATGAATCGTCCACAAAAATAATTTCTTTTTTTTTCAGTATTTAGTAGTGAAAGATATTAATGCATTAATGGTAATACATTTCTGGTTTAATATAAATTGAGGATGTTTTCTAGTTGTGCATGAATGCTGGCAACTTAGTAAGTTTCGGCAATTGTTTAAATATGTAATGTTAAGCTTAGGTTTAAAAAAGTAAAGCTGGTAAATTGGATCTTTGTCATTTACTTAAAAAAAAAAAAAGAAAAGAAATGCGAATGTGTTTGGTGCATTCTTTCCAGAAAAAAAAAAAAAAAAAACCTACTAGGGTATGAGTTTTCCTTTAAGATTGGAAGCAAACTTCCAGTTAGTAAAGTGCTTGCTAGCAAGATTTTGAAGGCCAAGAAAAAGTCTCACTTAAGGAATGTTTTCTTTGGTTGAACTCAATATTCTTGAGGTCCTGATTGCTATGGAGAAAAAGACAAAGACGCACTAGATTTTAAATTTGAGTGAGTTTTCTACAACCCACTATAAGATTTAGCTGTTTCAAATGCTTTAGATAAATTATGCCACTTTTAACAAGTTCTTGTGAAAAGTAGTGATGACAGTTTTACATCATTCGATGTAAATGATTGGGGAGCAAGCTTACTCAGCCTGGCTTAAAGGATGCCTGTATTTGAACCCAAGAAAAGTCCCAATTTGTAACTGCGTTGTTAGAGAACCATTCAGATATTCTCTTCTGACTGCAGCAGAATATTTTTGAATAGAGTGATTCCTGACATTATTTCCCTAAGATCACAAAAAGATGCAGCACTTTGGGGTTCTATTTTGTAAGGATAACTTCCTTAGACAGTAGCATCCCTCTTAGAATGGAACGGTAGAGTCTCCAGGTGCTGTGAAAGAAAGGGGAACCTCACCAGGGAGCGCGTCCCTCAGCCACGTACTCACAGGGTGGAAAAACACTGCAGTGGAGGTTGGGTCGTGGGCGGTGGGGCTGAGGAAGGACTGTCACCGACCACAGTTAGAATGACATGAATAAAGACCCAGGCAAGTAAGGAGGGGAAGGACTGGGAAGGAAGAGAGAGCCTTCTGGCGTGAGCAGTAGAGGTAGCTCAAGGTTGATTTTGATGCAGGAGTCAGTGGGCAGGACTTTAAGAGGCTTCTATTGTGACACAAAGGAGACAGAAGCTGGGGATAGGCCACAATGGTGCAGTGACAGAATAAGGACCTGGTTGCTAGGGTCTGAGAATAAATACCAGAAGCCTGGAAGAGGAGAGATGGAGCCCTAGCTCCTGGTCCCTCTTCCCTCCCCCTCTCCCCCAGGCTATCTGAAATGTCACCTACCACCTAAACATCACCTTCCTAGCTTCAGTCCTTAACTCTGATCTCTGACTTCTTAGTTTCACATTCTCCAGCCATTTGCACCGAGGAACGCCACCTTCCCTTCCCGTAATCTCTAAGGTTTTCTGCTTTCCTCGTGCCCTGATCACCAGCCCTACTAACTCAGCAGAGATGGAAGTGCCCACCGTCTCCAAAACTCTTAAGCCTACTGCTGGTGTCACTCAAGAGTCTCTGGAGCCCAGGATTATCGTTGCCTTATTCGAAATCCGATCACTTCCCCCTGTCTCCTGGGGTTCTCTCCCTTCCCTAAAGGGTGGGGTCCATCAAGCAACTGAACAAGAGACTGCAAAGAAGTTTGAAAATCTCCTAAAAGAAATTAAGGATATTGTTAAAAATATGACAAGTTGTGAAGAGAAGATCACAGAAGCAAAAGAATCTTTTGAGGAAACCAATATTTCTGAGGATGTGGCAGAGCTTACAGAAAAAATCAGAGGACTCGATAAAATGAACAAAGTGCTATTGGAAAACCTGCTTGGTAGTTTGGACCTAGAGAAAGAACAGAATGCAAAGAAACAGGAGACGATATTGGAAAACCAGAACTCCAAGGATACAGTACAAGGTTTTGCAAGGGATTTGGTAAATCGTTCAGAAGAAGAAAGAGCCCTGAATGAAACTCAGCTAAGTAAGGAAAAGGCAAAGCATGAATTCCCTCATGTTCAAGAAAAAAATATCAAACTTAGGAACAACATGGAGCAGTTACTCCAGGAAGCAGAACACTGGAGTGTGCAACATAGTGAGCTTAGTGAACTAATAAAATTGTACCAGAAATCTCAGGAAGACATAAGAGAAACTCTTGCAAATAATAGAATCCATTTCCAAACGCAACAAAATAACGAGGCGTCAGCTAAGCACAAGCTGGAGGAACAAGTGAAGAAACTGAAGCATGACACGTATTCATTGCATTTGATTGCAGCTTTGCTGGAGAATGAATGCCAGATCTTACAGCAGAGAGTAGAGCTTCTCAAGGAACTCCATCGTCAGAAAGAGCGAGCTCGGCAAGAGAAGCCAATTCAGATCAACAGTGAACAGGACGAGAAAGAACCGAAGCTACCAGAAGCCCAGAAGGTAGAAATGTATAAGCAGAAAATACAAGCAATGGAGGGTGCATTTCAGAAAAGAAACCAATTCTATAGAAGCCTGGATGTTTGTCGTAATAAAAAAGCTCGTAATAACTGGCTCAATATTCGTATTGCAAGAAAAGCTCTTATGGGAAAAAGGAGGCCAGGCAGCAGCCTAAGATAGAAAATATCAAAAGTAGAAGAAAAGGCAATTCTTAAAAACCGAAAACTATAATACATCCAACTCCAGGCATGATCAATCATCAAACCTACGATAGATCTGTTGGTTCAACTGAGAAACAGCTATGGAACAAGAAGATTGACACCAACCTTGTTCGTTCCCTCAGTAGTTATGTAAGTTTGGCTTTTAATGACCATTGGTGTCAACATCAAGTTCATAATTTTTCATCTTTACAATATGCTTGCTTTTGTAGTTATTAGATAGGGATCCTATGACGCTTTAACCAAAAGTAGGAAGTTACAGGTCCAATTAAGTAAAGATCTAAATAAAAACCAGATCAAACAATGGAAAGGTTTTTTTTTTTTTTTCTTTATTTAAAGATGACCTCGGGGGGGGGAAGTTCTGGGGGAAAAAGTATATAAAACTTCAATTGTGAACTTTTAAAGCTTGCTTTTTAAATTCATGTTTCCTTTTCCCATTATCCACTGAAGTGTGGGGAGCGCTGGAGTAAAAAAAGAAATGCTGATAAACTGCTCGTAAACAGTTTTTCGCTTCTCGTAAGTCTCTCCATCCCCTGGATCTACTTTTGCTGATGCTCCTCCCTGCTCCTCTGCTAGGGACTGGTGGGCATACCGGAAGCGGAGGCCCTGGGGGAAGGACACCTTGGCTTGTTTAGAAGAACAGATGAGTATCTAGATTTTGTTCTGTGCACGAAAAATTCCTCCCATGCCCCCAGGTGGGGGCACTAGAGTTACCCCGGGCAAAAAGCAATACCTCTGTTAGGGCAGCTGAACTTCTGGTTCCAGAAAAGATGGAGCAGATGCATTTCTCCCTATTCCTCCCATTAAGTAAGCTAAAAACCCTGGACATTATGTATAAAATGAGCATGAGAAGACTGTGACAGATGGAGAGAAGGAGACAGACTGGCCTCGGACCCTGAGACATAAGGAATAACATGATGCTGCATTCCCTGGGTTTTCTTTTTGTCTCATGTATCCTGGACTAAGTCTTAGAGGAGCCCACAATCCAGAAATGCCAATGCATTTAGACAGAAAATGCACTCCCCCCCCACCATAAAGCCAGCTTTCTCTTGCCAAAGGATGAGGAAAAGGACAGTCTGGCAAGACAGAAACCTTTGACAAAAACTGCCCTGCTCTGGGGTCCCGGCCCCATGGCTGAGAGGTTAACTTCACGTGCTCTGCTTTGGCGGCCTGGGGTTTACTGGTTCAGATCCTGGGCATGGACCTACGCGTAACTCATCAAGCTATGGTGTGGCATTATCCCATAGAAGAACTAGAATGACCTACAACTAGGATATACAACTACTTACTGAGGGCTTTGGAGAGAAAAAAAAGAGGAAGATTGGCAACAGATGCTAGCTCAGGGCCAATCTTCCTCACCAAAACTAAAACCAAAAAACCCCTGCCCTACTCTAGTCAAACCGCATGGAAAAAGCCATGCCTCCGCCCTTGCCCCCATCTGCAAATACTTAGTGGAGAGACTAGACTTTAGCCCTTGCCTGGAGGTAACAAAGCACTCCTCCCCTCATCTTCTGGGGTGGTGCAGAGAAGGCAAAGTGGGGACCCTGGAGTTCCACCCCCACCCAATGGTAACGAGGTGCTTCCCCCTGACCCCTTCCCTCAGTGGAGTCCACATGGATAGCCTAGATTTCTACACCCTTCCCCCACTGTCACAACATCAGAAGAAACCTGCTAAAACAGAAGATTTAAATAAGATCCAGGGTCTCGTAACATAACGCCCAAAATGTCTAGGACATACAGAAAAGTCACTCTTCATTCCAAGAATGAGGAAAATCTCAACTTGAATGAGAAAAGACAATTAACAGATGCCAACAATGGGAGGACAGATGTTGGAATTATCTGACTAGGGTTTTAAAGCAGTCATTATAAAGATGCATCATTGAGCAACTACAGACACACTTGAAACAAGTGAAAAAAATAGAAAGTCTCAGAAACAAAAGAGAAAATACAAAGCAGAAACAGGAGCCAGCCAGGTGGCAACACGGTTAAGTTCGCACATTCAGCTTTGGTGGCCCAGGGTTCACCAGTTCGGATCCCAGGTGTGGACATGGCACCGCTTGGCAAGCCATGCTGGGGTAGGCGTCCCACATATAAAGTAGAGGAGGGTGGGCATGGATGTTAGCTCAGGGCCGATCTTCATCAGCAAAAAGAAGAGGATTGACAGTAGATGTTAACTCAGGGGGGAAAAAAAAACAAGAAACAAATAGAATTTATAGAATTGAAAAATATAGTATGTAAAAATAAACTCACTGGATGTGCTCAATATTAGAATGTTGATGTCAGAGTAGAGATTCCACGAACTTGAAGATAGAATAATAGAAATTACCCACTCTGAACAACAGAGAAAATAGGCTGAAAAAAAGTCTAGATTCTAGAGTCTCAAGAATCTGTGGAACAGTAACAAAAGATCTAACATTGGTGTTGTCAGAATCCCCCGCAAAGAGGGATAGAATATGGACTGGAAAAGTAGTCAACAAAAAAAATGGCTGAAAATTCTTCAAATTTAGTGAAAGGCATAAAACTACAGATTCAAGAAACTGAGTGAACTCCAAATAGTGTAAACTCAACGTCAAGGCACTCACCATCAAATTTCTGAAACCTAAAGACAACGTAAAAATCTTGAAAGCAGTGAGAGAGAGAAATGACTCATTAGATATAGGGGAACAGTGATCCAAATGACAGTGAATTTCTCATCAGAAACCATGGAGGCCGGAAGGAAAGGAACATCTTTCAAGAACTGAAAGAGACGTCAACCCAGAATTGTTTGCTTAGTGAAAAAATACTGCAGGAATTAAGATGAAATCAATTTATTCTCAGATTGTGGAAAAGTGAGAGAATTTGTTGCTATTTGTTAGAAGAGTCCATTTGGTTGCATTACTAATCCTCTTTTTTTTGCATTCAAGAAAATGAGTGATCCCTTCAGCTTCAGGCTTTGTTCTATTCCATTTCCAAACAGGAAATTCGCATAGCAGGTGCTAAATGAGTGAAATGAGAAACTACAACGTCGTTGAACCAAGTAATCACTTCTTGTGCTTTCTCTTGTTCATATGCGTCACCCGAACAAATTCTGTCAGTGCCATTTATCTGTCAAATGCTCAGGGCTGACTCGCCAGTTCCTAAACCCTGCACTGAGGCTCCCCTGCCACCACAACAAGCGCACAAGGGAACCGGGGGGGGTTTTCACGTTTTTGAGAGATGCACAGCAATATGCGACATCCATTGCACACGACACACTCTCAAGGCAGTCATAGTTTCAACATTAGATTGCACATAGCACCACACCCAGAAGTGACATTTTCATTGGTGAGAGCTCAGTCACGAGGCCACATCCATCTGAAAGCAATTGAGAAATGAGGTTTTAGGCTGGGCGACCACGCGACCCAGGCAGAAGGAAGAGTTAATTTTGAAATGTTGTGAATTGTAGTGAAAATATTTTTGTGTTTCTTCACAGTTAGGGATTTCTTTCTTTTTTTTTTAAAGATTTTATTTTTCCTTTTTCTCCCCAAAGCCCCTCCTCCGGTACCTAGCTGTGTATTTTCAGTTGTGGGTCCCTCTAGTTGTGGCATGTGAGATGCCGCCTCCACATGGTTTGATGAGCAGTGCCATGTCTGCACCCAGGATCCGAACCAGTGAAACCCTGGGCCACGGAAGCAGAGCGCGCGAACTTAACCACTCGGCCATGGGGCCGGCCCCAGTTAGGGGTTTCTGAACAAATTTTATGGAAACTTGGAGATCCTGGACTAAAAGCAAGCTCTAGAAGATAATTTACAACTGTATAGAGAATGAGAACTCAAAAGACACCTAACTTTGGAGATGTGTGTTTACATCTCAAGCTAGGGGGAGGCCTGGACTTTGGAGACATCTCTGAGTTGTAAAGCTGGAGACGCTGGACTTACCTGGCCCCTGGAGAGATTTATTTACATTATAAAAGGGTTAGAGAGAGAACCCAGGATCCTTTATACCTTTTCTTCAAGGAGCAGAGGTCCCGCTCCCACCCCACTTTTAGAAGGAGGAGACAGCTGCCTTTCTTGTCTACACAAATGCCTAGATTCATTCTCTCAGCTTTCATCACAGTACAGACCGTGGTGTATGCAGGGTGACCTCTGGTGCTCGTTGCATCTCTCCAGGGGTAAGAACTGGAGCACAATTATTATTATGTAAGTAATCATAGTCTGTCTCTGATCCAAAAACCTCGTATGTGCGTGCAGGACAAGATAAAGATGAATACTAAAGACCCAACAAAGACAATCACAGTCTTCACAACCAGTTCTATTATGGATGAAGCATCGGGCATAAGAAATTCTCATTTGTTGAAGTACTGAAAATACAATTTGAAATACTGCTCCCTACTCCACAGACCAACATTTCTTTCTCATGTTTGGAATATGGATCACTTTACAAATAATCTAAGAGCCAAAATTTTCCTATTCCAGCCTCTGGCAGAAGAAAAAGATTTCCAGTGAAGCAGGATTGAGGCTCTCAAAGAATCACGCATTTCTTCCATCTGCCTTTCCCTCTAATGGAAACTACATACCATCTACACTGTTTTATTTTCCAACCATCTTGATTAATAAAACATTGTGCAGTTCATTTTTGTATTTTACCAGATATGTGGTTCGCATTACCAAGAAATAAATTGTTGCTAAAATTAATTACAGGTGTTTAATCAAGCTTCAAATACAGCAAGCAAGCCCCGCTACATCACACCCTCTGGATTTGGCGTTGACTTTAACATTTTCTATGTGTAATAAAATTGTCCTCCTACCACAGAGTCATATATATATTTTTATCCAATTCCAAAACATGCAAATGAGAATTTCTAAAAACAAGGCATTTCTAAAGGTGGGTTCATGTGGCCTCCAGTGGACAATTATGGATTATAGTCCTTCGGTTAATGTAAAATTATTTGGAGAAGTATCATGGCATTTCACACTCGGAAGGATGTTTAGGCCATCACTTGTAGACAGTGAAAAGCCAAGCTGTGAAATCAGTGAAAATCTGGAACCAGAATCAGTGTTGGCCTAGTCCAGAGGCTCTTCAACGCTGTATTTTCTCATACCCGAGGGTCAAATTCCAATAAAAATCCAACTCTGTTTTTGGAACTTTTAGACGTTCGTTCCCAGCATCAGTACACTCTGTCCAACAGCAATAGTGATTTTTAATATATATTTTTTGGATAATCGTCCTAGGAGGAAGAAAAAATTCATACAAACTTCTTTGTCAAATAAATTTTTCCCAATAAATTCTTCATGGTAATGAACTAGGAATTCTTGATTTCAAAATACTTGCATCTCTACAAAGTCTCTCCCATCAAGCCATAGCAGTTCC